TGTTACAGAGCTATATGTAATGATATTTTGTTGTTGCTGTTGTTCAAATAAAACACATGTATAAAAAGCAGAATGCAGTACAGCATGTTAAAAAAAGGAAAGGATTAGAGATGAGTGTCTGCTATAGGTATTCTTCTAAGTTCAACAATTTGGGAATTAGCTATTGTACTTCCATCCAGGCTGCCATGACATGACTCAGTATCACTGATGTTGAGGCCAGCACCTGGAACATAGAAAGAAAGGCAGAATATTTGGGAGATCTGAAAATGAGGCTATATCTTCCATAGAATATGCTTATATGATGATGATGAAGAAGAAGAAGATATCAGCTTCCTGGTTTAATCATTCTGGCTGGACATATTATTCAAAATTTAGTCATATCAGAATTATGTGACTAGCTTATAAAATATCTGGCTAAACTCTTGTTAAAATTAATACAGAAGGTTCCTCCAATTTAAAACATCGACTTAGATCAAATACATTATTTCTAGTTCACATCTGAATTCTCATTCTTTCTTAACTATCATTTACCTTACTGAATTTAATCCATAAACCACAGTTAGAGATATTACACTGTGTGCAATTTTATGTTTTTAATTCTACTACTGCAATATTGCCTTCATTATATTTAAGGACTTAAGCAGAATATGTTATGGTTAAGGTTTGCAAACCTCCAGAACTCTGTTAGATATTTTAATATTTTTTTAACTGGTCATTCAGATTTTATAGATTCTCTCTCTCTCTCTCTCTCTCTCTCTCTCTCTCTCTCTCTCTCTCTCTCTCTCTCTCTCTCTCTCTCTCTCTCTCTGTGTGTGTGTGTGTGTGTGTGTGTGTGTCTGTCTGTCTGTCTGTCTTTAAAAGATTACACATTACTAAATATACATGCAAATCTCCAAGGTGTGGGAAGAAACTAAGCATGACGATTGTTTCTTTTGGTTCTTTCTATGCACCTTTCCAATTACTAGTGGAGTTCCTCACAAAGGTAGCATCTACATGATGAGGGACATGCATCAATGGCAATCACAGATTACAATTATGCTACTTTAGAAAGCTTGACTTTACTCTGTACTAGGTGGGCAGATTTCCTGAACCAACATTACATCAAGATGGGTAGGGATATCAGTGTAATGCCTCCATATTTTCTTCATAGAGGTACAGTTCTTCTGGCAAAGCTTTTTAGGATGATGGAATAAGCATTTTTAGCATAGTCTGAATTTTTAGTGAACAAAAAAGGTGGAAAAGCTTCTCTTCCCCACCCCCACATTATCTCTTCTTCTTGTGGCACCAACTGATTGCTTTGCCTGAGTGAGCATACTGTGCTTTTGGTCTTAGGACAAGTAAATAAAGCATTTAAAAACTGCCCAACCCCTACTTAGACATTTCAAGACTTGCAAATCCTATTTAGGCAGAAGTGCATAAGTGCATGCAAGCATAATTAAACATGGTAATGTCAAAAGAGATTAATTCCAGACATTATTTGCCAGTAAAACCAGCTACAAAGGAGCAAGGGCTGCAAAGATTCAATGGACTAGGCAAAATTATTTCTGCTGCAAATGCATAGATTTCAAAGGAGCTATACCAGCAATAAACCTGGCTCACTGTATTTGGATTATGCTATATGCAGGAAACCAAATGCTACCACTTTTTAACTACCAATTAATAAAACACATAAGACAGAAAATGTGGCATATTAAGTTGCTTTGTTATGCACAAACCTGGGTTATTTGTCTGTTTTTAATTCTAAAATACAGCAGATATGACCAAATTACAATATTCTCCATGCCATCAAAGGACTTAAAGATGCTTTAAAAGATGGATTTCTACAGTTATTGTTAGTGTTCCTTTCTTCAACTTCACAGTTGTTTAGTGAGAAGGAAAAAGGAGTTGGTGATTGAAGACCCAGGAAGATTAAAATGGAAGATGATTATGAAATCTGGATCCCTTCTAAAAATCTGTCAGTGATGGAGGTTAATCCGGATATGTTCTAAACAGTAGTTTGAGGGTAGGAATAGAAATCCTGAAGCAGTGAATTAACTTCTAATTTCTAAAATCAAGTATCACTGCACACAAATCTTTCCTAAAGCATAGGTCCCTTCTGTTCTTTGACTCATTTTCACCATTAAAGAAACAGCACAAAAAGCCAAATGGATTGACCTGCTGTTTCCCATTTTATACATGTGTGATTTTGTTGTGTTGCTGATTGTTTAAACAAATAACCTATTAAGATTATTGCTTTGCTAAAATCCAAATTACAACATGACTATACTTTTTCTTGCCGTGAATGAATTCTTAAGGATTTGATAATCTTCTTTTGGAATAAAACTAGAGTGTAAAGTCCTCTATGGAAGAACAACTTAAAACTGCACAGACCATTTAAACTTTTATCTAGAAGTGTTTACCACAAGATAGTTAAGAGTTCTTAGGGGCAGCTTACAGTCAAAAAAGAAAACTCTGAGATACATGTTTAACATTGCTTCCCAGCCTAACCAGGAATTATAAATCTGAAGTATGTTTACGATCTTCTGGGCTTGCAAAATCAGTGTGGTGGTATCTACTACTGCAGAGGGTAAATGAATATTAAATCTCATGTCGCCTTTTTTATATGTTTAAAAACTTATATTATATTATTGGTAGTTTCTCACCTGTTTGATATTTACACACACCCAACAAGATTTTTTTATGGCCAACATAAACAATTAACTGTTATTTCCATTTTAGTAGCTTTAGAAGAATTGAGAATTTTTCCTTTCATATAATATTTCTTTCAAACAGTAACTAATTTTAGTTATTTATTTATTTTGGTCTAACAAGGGAATGAAACACTATAGTTCAGCTGTGAAAGTGTCATGAATAAACAAGGACCTATCTGAATTTACTTTAAGAACGCCAATGAAACCAAATGCAGATTATGGCTCAAAGGTCTCCCAGCTGCCTGTTTGCCTAAGAAACTCACAGAACCTGTAAAGCAAGTTTAAGATGAATTTAGATAGCCAATCTAGTCTTTCTGCCTATGTGACACAAAGCACTTAGAAATATTTCTTCAGGGCACTCATAGTTTGACCTTAGTTTAATTAGAACTTTTTTTAAAAAAAAATTACATAACTTGGCACTTCCCCTTTTCACACAATAAACACACATACATATATATTTGGGTCAGTTTATGCCTTGCTAAGCAGTATTACAGTCATATCATTTGCTGCCTTGTGCAACTGCCTTGCGCAAACTTTGCCATGTTTCACTGTGCAACTATCGATCTTCCAAACAAATAAGTCTGAGAAATTGTTATGCTACTGAGTGATCCATGCAAAACATAATCGGGCTTGGCTTGTACTCTGTTACGTGTAACCAGGATGTATATAAACTAGAAATACAAGTGCTCTTTTGAAGTCAGTAATCATATTCATATTCGTAAACTTGAAAACCTATCCTTCAAATTAAGACAGTTGTGAGGTTGGCAAATGATGTACCCTCCAAAAGTATTAGTGGTGGCAAAACATCTGATGAGTGGAATGCTGACTTGTCTCTCTTTTAGGAGATCTATAGAAATCCATAAATTTCATTTTCTGCATATCCAAGAAATACCAATAGTGTCTTCTGTGACATACTTTCACATTCAGTGACTGGATTTTTTCCATCTTTTACTTAGAATTAATCTTAATCTGGTTCTTGGACAACAGTTAAACTTCTTCATATAGCTATGGGGAGCCTAACTCAGCAAGATGGCATAATTGCACAGTCCATGACTGTATTTCTGATTAATCTACAATTGCTTCCACATAAATGTGAAATTAGATCCATATAAATTGGACATATGGTAGCATTTCTATATCTAAATAGTAGCTTGTGATTTATATAAGAATAATATTTACTTCTTCACCCTAAATTTTAAACACTTATAGTAAGAATACACATTCTACTTCCCTGATACGGGCTAAATGTGTTTTCATTCAATTTGCCTTTTTGTTCTTTAAATAAAATGCATATTAAGTTCAGCATAAGGCAGACTTTTTACTTTGATGTGAACAGTTAGCAGGAATACAAATGCAAAAAAAATCGCATCTGATTATTTAGAAAGGAGGCTATATTATACTTACCAGTTTTTAAAGCAAATATTAAATCATCAAACTCTTGTGATTCTTCATCTGCCATCAAAGAACTGTTCCTAAATTCTCCAGCAGCTATGTAGGCACTGCCATTCTGTGGGCTTTGCTTAAAGACAGTCCTGGCCTCGGTGCCTGTTCTTGGGGATGCCCTCTCCCAGTCTGCTGGCATCTTTAGAAAAAGCATTAAGAAGAGTATAGAGTGCCACAAAAATCTCTTTGCATTGTCTTCCTAATGATGTTATTGGTTCTCTAGACTAGAAGATCCCATAAATACCAAACAATATCATCATCATTATTTACTTAGTTATTTTGGCAATTAAGAAAATACCTTGATTTAGATGCAATAGGCTCATCCCAAATATCCTGGCCCTAGCAATGTGCATGTAGTCAAAAGACTTAGAGCAACGGATGTTTCCTTATGCATTATGGCATTTTCCAATGCCAAAATAGCAGGGATGGACAAAAGATTTTGCCATCTGACTCAAAGTAGCAAATGCCCATCTCCTTGTCTAAATGCAGTTGGTATCCCAGTTGGTCAAATTATGCTGGGACCTGAATTACACAATTCCACTAAGCTTTCTCCTGTCTCTAGCAGTGAAAATCAATTCAGCATTGAGAAATAAGAATTCTGGACTTTTAATGATACTTTACTTAATGGCTAGGTCAGGCCCACAAATTAAGTGGGATTAAGGTTTGATATTGCCAAAAATACCACTATCAAAGGAAGACTGTTTCTCTAAGTCTAGCCACGAGTTCCTTCAGGATACACAGGCTGTTCTTGATAAATAATAATGTAGTAGATATACAAGATGAAAGTTAGTTTCTTTGTGAAACAATAATTGGTAGAAATACAAACACAGAAAATATGGAATGCATAACTGATATCAAACTGGCCTTGGATTTATGTATATCTTACTGTGGACTCTGCAACACCACGACAAATGTTCAAAGAAAAAGAGAGTTGTCAACATTACAGTAGCAGCAACTACAAGGCTCCCTCATAGTCTGAGACTCTCTGGACATGTAAAGACTGGTTCTGTTTCAGCCAACACTGATTGCCTGCTGAGGTGAAAGTCAAAGGCCCTCCTGCATCTCTGAACACCTCAGGAATGGTAATTAGTGTGGAGCAAGAAGAGGCCCCTTTTCTGTGACAATAACCTTATGCTGGTTGTTGTCTAAGGAAGCCTTGTGTCATCTCCTCTTCAATGGCTTTTCAGAGGATGGGTAGATCTTGCTTTCTGCTATAATGACTACTTATTTCAGAAGGAGTGGTTAGTAATATAATTCTTTTTAAATAATTGGATCTCCTCCCTAAGAGGAGTCCCTCCCCAACATGGCTGCTGAATGGTAAGGAGATTTTTCTCTCTTACCGATAATCTGCCGATTTTGCTGCCTAAGCTGGCTTTCTGATAGTGTTGCCCCCTGAATATGAATGTGAGCACTTGGGAATGACCCAAAGACAACTTTTGGATGGTGATGGACCCATTTGGAAAGGGGATCTTAAAGATTCAAGGATCAACGAGATATCAACTGTACAGAGGTAGAACTGAGTTGATTCCATACAATTCTCTGAACTTCAAGTCTGCATTTGTTTAAAATAGCAGAAGCCTGACATGGAGAAGTGACAAACTGATTTTTCTTAGGACTGGAAAAGATTGGGGAATGGATGTATTACTCTTAATTGCAAACCATTTTTATCTGGAGTTTGTTGGGAAGAAATTGAATATATTTAACTAGACAAAAACTGATAAGAAATGGTATCAAAAAACAAAATTGATAAATTATTCTTAACTCTTAGGATGATTTGGGATAGCTAAAAAGCCATGGTAAATTTTCTATGAGTTGATTACAATAATAGTTTGTTAACAGAGGGTTTTGAAACTCTCATCTTGTCCTTTTCATTATTATTGTTCTTCATGTTAAGTATTCTGTCATTAATATAGCATATACTGTAGATGACAGATCAATAGTTTGCAAATAGATTTATTAGTTTTTTTTAAAAAAAAATGGGGGGCTGTTTCGCAAGCAATGTATTAATCAGTATTCAATGGGGGGTAATATGTGTAGATGTGTTTTTTTTTTGTTTTCATTTTTAATGCACTTTTTAAATGTCTTGTATGCTTTGTGTATCTTTTCTTTGCTTTTTGTTGTTTTAAATTTCTTGGAATTTTATATTTTAACTTTCTTTGGAATAAAATAAAAATTTCCAAGAAAAAAAGAAACATTTTTAAATAATTTTGAGTAGCTATATTGTTCTCTGCTGCTGTATTACTTCATTAGAGCATTTGGTGGATTTGTTATTTAAAATAGAAATTAAATATGTTATATTGTTGATATTTAAGGAAAAAGGAGCTTGTTTGAGGAAAAACAGAGAACACATATTTAGCTAGGCAAAACTGGGGCACAAATGTTTAAATAGTCAATAAACACATTTTTTGCTAAACATGGCTTATGATTAACATCTACATATTGCTATTGTGACAGATCCTGCTACTACAACAACTAAGCATGGAACATGGTCATCCCAAATTCAAATCTCTACTAAAATATAAAGGCCATACAGAAGGAAGCTAAGTGATGTAATTGATTGAAATTTTTGCTGAAAGTAAACAAAATCCATAAAGAAATGGTACTCAGCCCTTGTCGCATGCACGTACATACACTTAATAATAAAGGTGGGATAAAAAAACCAAACAACCAACCAAACAAACAAATAAATAAGCAATCCTAATTCAAACCCCAATTTCTAGCTGGGCAAAAAATATACCTGGATTTTTTTAAACCTGTTTTCATTCAATATGATGAAGGAACTTCTAAAAGCAAATTCTCTTTTAACAGAGAAGTTTTTTGGGTGGAAGGTCATATACTTGCACTTGTTTAATTATGAGGTAGCCAAGATGCATAGAGAATGTTCTGCCTCTCATGATGTAATCATATTTATGGTTTCCAGGACTTCAATTAAATTCAAGGAAGGTTGTCATTAGGAAATTCCTTTATTATTTTTTTTATAGCGAGGCAACTGTCAACAAAAAGGAACAATCTGTCCATTAAAAAAATGCTGAAGAATTTTTCTTTTCCTGAAGATGGTTAGAGAAATTTCCTATTCCAAGCTACTTTGCCAACAAATTTAGTGGAGAACTTTTGAAAGCCTGTTTGTGCCCAGCTGCAAAAAAGATTCCAGTTACTGGCATCCTGGAGTCTGGATCAGTTGGTTCCACAACGTAAATGTTAGACAATAAGCAAGATGAGCTATGACAATGTGCAAATGCTGTATGTATATTATTTTATAGACCACTTGCCATTAGGGTGTCCTCTCAGATCCAACTTTCCACCATGACGAACATATTCTCTCCCCTTTGGCTGGCTCACAGCTAGATCCCTTTCTGTACTTTTAAAATGTCTTAATCTGGCAGTTGTGATAAGGTGTAAGTGGGTTGCATTTGGAAAGGGAATGGAGATAGCATTTTGAAATAGAGCAGGATTGCTGAAAATAATACATATATGATGCTTCTGACATGTATACTTTACAGCTCTGTTTTCTAGATAAATCCAATGACCTGTTTAGACGAAACCTGAAATGGCCTGGAGACAGAAGGTGGCACCTTCTTTGTTTTGCTTACTCTCCTGACCTGTGAATTAAGATCAAATGGAAAATAATTGCTCAGGTTCATATGACAGTCAGCATGGAGTTCAGCCAGAGTAAAGGCATCATTATAATAGAGCTCCCAAGAGAACCCAACACATTTTTCCAATGAAATTTTTTGTTGGCTTATAAAGGAGAAAGAAAAGCTGCTTTTGTTCTTTGCATTGTGATTTGAACTTCTTTCTTGTGCAGCTGTTAATGTTGATATTATATGCTGAGATACAAACCCCACTCACTACAAAGGGAGCTGTTCTACCAAGCAGTTGTATATGACTGCAATCTAAATTAAAAACTTTGGGATAAATTCCACTGGATCCAGTGAGGTTTCTTAGAAATACAAATATTCATTAACTGCAATGAACTATTTAAAAAGGAGGTATCTACAGAGCTGCATTGTTAATCTTTCATTATTTACAGTTGTGCTTTACTGAACATGTTATGTTTTGAGTGTCCTTTTTGATAAAAAAAATCGACCTTGTATGCAAAAAGATTCTAGTCTGCCCTCATCCACAGAAGCTCACTGTGTGACTTTGGGCTGGCTACTCTCTCTTTCTCTCTGTCTAATTTACCTCACAGGGTTGTGGTTCTGAGAAAAAAATATGTGAGAATGTTTGTTGTATACCACTCTTGAGCTTCTGACTGAAATATAAGATGTAAAACTTATCAATTAATAAAACCAATGGATCATGTAGAAACATACCTGTATATGAGTTGTTAGTGTATTTATTTGTAAAGGTAAAATAATAAAGGTACCTCTTCCATAGCAGCAATAAGATTTTGAGTAGATTTGCTGATCTCTTCCCCTGCCAAAGGCATGCCACTTCCATGAGTGAAAAATGTAGAACCCGAGCTAGTATTTCCATTCATTTCAACTGTATAGCTGGCTTTCACGGGACAGCAAAGTTGGTTATGTAAAATGAAATATACAACAAAGACATAAAGACCCTAAAAGGCAAAAAAGGGAGGGAGGAAAATTCAGGCATCTATGAATGAAATGCACATATGTTTAATGCAAAACACATTTAAGAAACCTATATATCCAGGATATGAAGATACAGAACAAGATTTGTTTCCCAGAATCCCAACCAATGAGTGTCCATATGATTATAATGTAAATTAAAACACAAGAGAAGCTGTCAAAATAAATTATTGCCTTGGAAAAATAACCTCTACGCACATAATAAGATAGTTCAGTTTAAGATGATGTGTTTCTTTTTAAACTCACTTATTGCTGAAAGCAAAGTAAAAGTAGAACAATGGTTCAGCTCCAACGTAACAACAGAGAAATTGTTCATGGCTGGTACAAAGCCAAGCTTGCAATGATTTATTGTCAGATAATAGCTCAAGTATTTTTACTGACCTGGTAGTTTCAAACCATAATTTCAACATCATGAAAACATTGGTTAGAGTTTAAAAGGCATATTTCAGCTTCAAATCAACTCTGACTATCTTAAAACTGTTTTGCCTTTACTGTATATTTATTACCTATTTAAAAATATTTCTGTGCCATCTTAACAGCAAACTGTTCCCAAACAGTTTACGGCCTAGGTTCACAATATAACAAAAACCTACAAGAAAATATAATGCATGCATTTAAAATTTTGCTTGTGCAGTTTATACCCTGCAAGCTTTTTAACATTCAGCAATTGTCATGAAGTTAAATTTAACATAACACTGAGGCTCTGGATTCTAGATCCTTTCATTCAGCTTCTTCCTTATTGTCTTTTGGAAGGAGAAAGCTGTTAAGGAATAACAGAATTGGAAGAGACCTTGGAGGTCTTCTAGTCCACCCCCCTGCTCAAGCAGGAAACTCTATGCCATTTCAGACAAATGGTTGTCCAATCTTCTTAAAAACCTCCAGTGTCGGAGCACCCACAATTTCTGGTGGGAAGTCATTCCACTGATTAATTGTTCTGAAAGGAAATTTCTCCTTAGTTCTAGGTTGGTTCTCTCCTTGGTTAGTTTCTATCCATTGCTTTTTGTGCTGCCTTCAGGTGCTTTGGAAAATAGGTTGACCTCTTCTTTATGGCAGCCCCTTAGATATTGGAACATAGCTATTGTATCACCCCCCTAGTCCTTCTTTTCATTAAACTAGACAGGTAGGTAGGTCCCTTCCCAGCAGCAACAACTTCTTTGCATGCCTCTCTCACATAGGCAATACACCTTTACCAAGACCAATCCACTTCAGTGCTTTGAACATAGAAAAAGCACATCTAGGTCATGCTTGAATTCAGTCACACTGCTTACTTCCTCAGATATAATCACTTGCAGCTAGTCCCAAATTGCAAAATGTTACATGAACCTTTCCCATAGAAGAGATAGAAAGTTAACATTATCATTTATGCTTTTTACAAAAAGCAGAAAAAAGTTTAAAAAAATCAATTAGTAATGATTTTGGCTCAGGAGTTCTTGAATATTTTGGCTGTATTTTGGATTTATTTATTAAATGTATTACATGTATTTTGTGGTTTTAACTGCTACAGGTTAGGATACCATGCTGTTATTGTAGTAATTACCAGTAATTAGCATTACAGCTGAAAAACACTATGTATATTATGTTTCCAACTGTAAATATGTATTAACAGCATGGGAGAAAGAAAAAAAGAGTAATCTTAACAATCTGCTTAGAAACTGCCAAAATTTAGTCCAAACTTGTAAATCACAATTATTTCTGATATAGTAAACCAAACTACAACTAAGTCTGTCTAGTTTTTCAAGCCATTTTGTTGTTGAAACTGTTCTAAAAAATCCCATCACCATGGGCCATCTACTGCAGAATGACATCTTCAAAGCTATGAAATACTTTTACTACAATAGAGAGAAGATACATCTAGTTTATGCATCTACGCTGAATACTTCTAAATAAAGCATTTTATTATACAGTACTTTTGTGGCTAATTCTAGAACCACCCCAAGATTGGTTTCTACATCCAATTAGAAACATTGGAAAAGGCCAAAAATAATCAGGGTCTATTGTTGTTGTTGTTTTTTTTACTGGATTAAGTGTCCTGAAACATAACTTCTTTTCCAAAGCGTTATATAATCTC